AAAGATTTCCCACAAGTTTTGTACAATTCCTCACTAAGCTTTGTGTCGTTCTGGATAATATATGATAGCTATTTGCACATGCATCGCAATTCTTTTGAATTCTATTCAGTTCTATTTTAACTATGTACCTTCTCAAAATATTACGAGGAATACATTGACTTGATGATCCCGTTCAAACAAAACAAAGCCTTCATTCTTTTTTGAAGCAGGAATAGAGATCGCCGTAAGTTCTTTGTTAACATGGTTCTTGTTTTAGGGCATCAAGTGGCCTAATTCGTCCTTCATATAAAATAATAGTAACTTAAATTTTGGGAATGAAAAAGTTCACATCGATATTCACCCAGCAAGAACGTTCGCTTGATCAGATTAGCCTTCTAACTCCGGGAGACAAAAACAAATTTTTTATTTTTTTTTTTTCTTCTCAGGAAGTGAAAGATCTAGGAGAGCTTCGGCAGCCAATGGCTCAGCGCTCTCCTTACCGACTAAGCATTCACTCACTATAACTGTTACCAAAATAATCTCTAACGCATTGGGAATTAAACCCGCGAACAAAGACTTTATAGTCGCGAGTCTTACCTACTCGGCTGCTTATGTGGATAAAGCACCGGCCGTTGCTGGTCTACCAAAAATAAGGCAAATTTCTAGCCTTCAAGGTTCATACCTAATTGATCACTTTCTAGCTGGAGTTTTTAATCGAAAATTTTGATACTAACAACACTTTTCAATATGTGCAGTTATTTTAGTTCGTGAAATTCAGCGCAGAACCGCAAAACTGTTAAGGGAAATTCTTTATTTGATCAGATGCATGCATAGTGAAATTCGTGAAATAAATTTCGAACACATTGTAATAAACAAATGAATAAGTTTTAATAAGACATGCGTGGGCGTTGCAAATTGCTACTACGCTAGTCATATCCAGTCAGTTCTCAAGACATTCGTAAAAGGACACTAACAGCGAAAGGATATTAACAGTGATTACAAACACTTTATGCTGTTTTACTTTATTGCGTATATTTTCTCTACGTAAGTTTGTTCTAATGACCCGCTCCGGTCAGTGGCAATGTCCAACATAATAATCTCCATGATTTGCAATTTTTATTGACAAGCGTTTTCATTAAGGTATTAGCCATGTAATACGTAGTATTGCGGTATTGTTACAAAAAAAATAAATAAATAAATAAATAAATAAATGAATAAATAAAATAAAATGAAATAATAATAAACTCAGTCTGAATTTGTTATATAACTAACTTTTATGACGATGGCATTCTTCAGGCAAAAATTCATGTTCAACAAATCTCAATTTTTCTACAACACTTTATTGCACTTCCAAATCCATTCTACCGATAAAAATGTATATTTTAAATACACAAGTAACCCAAAAAAAAATTTTTTTTTGCTTTCAAAACGCAAACAATTTGTTATAAGCAAACGTCTCTTCAATATGCACGCATACAAGTTACATATATCAAACTGACGAATTTACACCACAACAGTAATATGAAATAGTTTTCATACCCTACACCGCTTGTCGTACAAAGTATGTTAAGTCTGTGCAGACGTACGTAACTTCAAGAGGGGCTTAAGATAGACCCACCTTTTATTTTATTGTCTGTCCATCTGTTCATTTGATGTCTGCCGATGATTGCGTTGTCAACCTACGGGTCGCAAATTTTTGAGATATTTTAATGAAATTTGGTACACTGATGCGCTTTGACCCCAGGACAAATGCGATTGAAAATGCTTCGGATCGATACGCTTTTTCGACCACTCCCCCTATAACACCTTATTTTGAATTCAAAATACATAATTGCTATGAAAGTTTTGATTCGGCTGGAGTAATTTTTCGAACCCCCTCTCATATAATCTTTTCTACGAAAACTGAACCTCTATATAGTAAAAAGTTATAATTTTCAATGTTTTATAATGAAAATAGATGCATTAGGGCAAATTAACAAAGAAGCCAACCATATCGAATTTGGATCACGTAGGTCTATTTTTTGGACATAATCGCACTTAAAGATTCGGAGGAAACATAAACCTTGTAAGCCAAAAAGACCTAATTGTTAATTTTTCATGATGAAAATTTGTTCATTATAGCAATTTGACAAAGAAATTAGGTGGGCCAAACTAGAACCACGTAGGACCCCACTCCACATAAGATTTCTCATACATGTCTTCAGAAAAAGATTCCGTTTTTAATATTTTGTGACGTGAAATTGGCCCATAATAGCAATTTAGCAAAAAAAACCTGTGGTAGCGAATTTACATCACATGGGTCTATTTTTTAGATCTTAAGATAGATAGTCATCATGAAAAATATGCCCGTAGACCGACACGAAGTATAATTTTTTGTATGACGGAACTGAAATATACAAAATTTTTGGGAAGTGAATTAAGTTCGCCAACTTGAGATGATGTCATGTGACGCATTACAGCGGACTCTCACGCATGGTATACTTGTACAAGAAAGTAATCTGTCATTTTTAGTGTACTCTTTCTGAAACGTGTGAGTAACTGTATTAGGCGAAGTACGGTAAAGTATCGAACGGTCGGCCTTGCCCGTCTATTCTGTTCTCCCTTCTTTTTTTTTTTATTCATTATTGCTCTTCCAATTACAATTACTAATAGAATTTTGCTATATTTTAAATAATTTGTTTCTTTTTTAAAACAGATTTTAATGATGAACTCTTACTGCAGAAAAATCTCGTCTCCTCCCGTCTCTCTATCACGAATTTGTATCGTTTACGAGGAAAACAAAGAAAAAAGAAAGTTCGTTGCTTCTTTTATGATGTTTGTGACAATGATATAGCTGTTATTATTGTCGATTAGTTATTGATGAAACGAAAAGTGAAGAAAAGGAGAGAAAAGAAAAGCGCTTATATTTACGTTGGTCTAATCAACATTTGTGTTTTTAAAATTCCTGATAAATATCTAATCAAATGATTAATACAAGTTTAATTAAATTTTTCAGTATTCATGGGTGTTTTTGAAATTACTCTTCAACTGACATTGTGAACGATGAGTGAATACCATGGCCATTTACAAACTGCATTTATAAATTGTAATGAAAATGATAAGCTCCTTCCTCATTTCATTCTCTCATAGCTTTATATTTTGAATTTTTTGCGACTTTTAGAACTTTAACAATGAACAGACAGACAGACAGACAGTTTAGTAAACTCTCGCATTTACTTTGTTCAATTTGAATATAAATGCTGCAATAAAGTTATTACAAATGGTATGACAAATTTAGTACGACGACATTATCAAGCAGCGATTGGTGGATATACGTTATATAGGCGAATGCAAAAAGAACGTATTCTTACAATACGTATAACCTAATAAAAATCTACTAAAATTTTTATTAATGTATCTTCAATTAGAAAAACACCGCATCCATGTATGCGAGTATAATTATTTTTTGCATCACACACGACACCATTGTATTTAGCTCGTAATATAATTGATAGAGTTTATGAAAAAAGTTTTTATTGCCTGCTAAAATCACACAGAAATCAAACATTTAAAAATGAAGTCAATTCAATTTTAAAAATTTTGAACAATTTTAATGACATTTACACGAGTACACACTAAATCTAATATTAATATAATTTTTTTTTTTTTTTATTATTATTTGTTTGTCACAGCAATTATATACTCGTTTATTAAAGAGGTAGGCTAACTTCTGTAAAAACATGGTTGGCGTTTGTTTGAAAAGCTTGTCGCAGCATATAACTATATGTTTATATATATATATATATATATATATATATATATATGTGTGTATGTACTATCTTGTGTTTTGTATATCAAAATGTAAAAATGATGAACGAAGCTTTGACTTGAAATGCTGCTTTATTAATAATACAGAGATTATATTAAATACTTTTTTTTATTATCTTATCACATAATTATAGAAAGTTTGCTTCTGGGTGCCTCTAGCCAAATGTACATAACTTTTTTTAGATACCCACCCAGACATAAATAATAATAATAATAATAATAATAATAATAATAAGTAAAAATACAATAGCGGGATACGTTACGTACCCTATACCAGTTTTCTTACTACAGTTATTCGAAACTGTAGTTATTTAGCCGAAAACGTGCTCCGATCAGAAACATTTTTAATAGTGATCGTCCTTGGAAGAAAACATATCGCTGCACCAAATTTCATCAAAATTTCATAAAAAACTAACAACTTAACGATTGAGCACAAAAACAAAACGGAAAGACACACAGAAAAGCTTAGCTCGATTCAACAAAAATCTTATTGAATCGATCAGTATCGCAAAGGATAGATTGATAGATCATGTCCTCAAGGCGTTGTACACATTTGCACTAACTTCAGATACCCTTGCCTCACAAATGATATAATGATAATAAATGTATTAATAATGAAATATTTAGTAAAAAAAAGGCACTGAATAGAAAACGATTCAGTTTGTCGAAGATTTTAGTTTACTACGTTTTACATACATATAACCATAGAATTTAATACTTTAACGCGTTATTCTTTGCCTATTCTTAATATAAAGGCTTTATTAACACGTATCCGTTTCTCTGCAGCTATGTCCGAATGATCAATTCGCTTATAATTGGTTGATATACATTGATATAAAAAGCGAAAAAAAGTGCATTTTCCCGAGAAAATTTTAAAGAGTCACTGCTCCAGACGCTCAAAACTCTTATAGCACTAATTAAAACCTCTACAATAACTTTGAATCCAAAATTTGAAAATATCGAATATTCGAAATAAACCACTTTGATGACGTTCTGAAATTTACAGAAACCCCATAAATTGTAAGATTCGAAAATCCAATCGTAAAAATAACTACCGACTTTTTGATTTGTTATTATGCTGATTTTCCGAACCAGCGGAAAGAAAGCAAAAGGATTCTTTCTTGACACTGAGTTATAAAAGAAGGCAAAAAAAAAAAGAAAATAACGAATTTTTTTTGAACTTAATTTTTCTTAATCTTCGTTAAATGGCTTACTTTTCTTCTTTGTTTTTCAAATGCAAGCCGCTCGGTACATTTGAAAAGAAAGCGTATAGTTGGAAATTTGTACTTTTAGCTGCATTCCAACATCTGCTTTGCGTTTTCTAAAGCGGCTTGTGTCTCACTAGTTGTAATTTATAAAAATTTAAAAGCGACTGTCAACCACAGACTAAAGTAAGTAACTAAAATTCGCTTTAAAAGCTAAAGCTACCGCTACCTCTATAATTCAGATTCAGCTGACGACTCAGCTTTTATTTACTAGAACCATTGCACAAAGCCGTCCGCATTTGCTGTTATTATTATTTTTAATCAGCGTTAGCAGCACAAATAGATACATTTTGAAGCTGTGTTCTGCGGCGCGCACACGGTGCGTCTATTAAGTAAAAACACAAAAAAAAAAAAAAAAGCAACAAAAAAAAAAGTATCAAATTTTAAACTGCACTGTTTGGAAGCAATTTAATAGAAAAAGAAAAACAAATCATACTATATACGTTTTTATCATCAGATACTTTTTGCATTTATATCACTACTAGTATGTGAATACAAATAGCTTCTTAATTCTCTGACATTGTATACTATTCTAGTCATGTGTAATCTCATGCAACTATTATTTAATTATCCTTAACTTTTAATAAAGGATAAGAATGCTTAAATAATTTAGATTTACTTTATTATATATGTGTAAGTAATTTAAAGCCCCACTACTAATATGCGAATATATTAGGTATTCAAATTCAATGCATAATCGTGCTCACACAACGTGGTCTGCAAGCTTTTCTTTTCTTTTCTATTCTTTTCTTTTTTTTGTTCGAAATTGGCAAAAAATTGATTTAATCAGCAGTGACTCGCTTTATGTCGAAAATCAATCGAGAGAGGAAGGTTACTTTTCATCTTTAATAGTTACAAGTAAAAAGAAATCGAAATTTTGCTAATTGCATTGAACCAACTTCAACGGCAGAATGTATAGGAAAAACGAGTACATGGGATTCTCCACTTAATTATTATTGTTGTGTTTAAATATGTCTCTTCATTTCTATTCCTATTTATTTCTATATTATGTCAATTGGACGCTAGTCGCATAACCAAGTAATTAAGAACTACGATTATAAAGTCGCGCACACCTGCATTAAGTCCTTCGTGCGGTAATGCGTGAGCAAAATTTCAATTGCGATTTGAAATCACACTTTAACCATGGGGATACGCGTTCACTAGGCCGCCGAAATATCCTATATCACTTTTCCTCTATCTCTATATCGGTCGGTCTATCTGTCTCTATCTCTATTTGTGTCTGGCTATCTCCCTCTCTCTCTCTCTCTCTCTCTTTCTCGCTCCCTTCCCAATTTCCTTTGATCATTATCGCGTAACAGATAAGCGGGAGATATGGACTGCTTGGTCATATCAAAGAAATTTCATATCTATTTATCGGAGGGCTTTTTTCCAGCATAATACATTCAGTTCCACAGCTCAATTTTAAAAAGAGTTTTTATGCCTCTTTCATTTATCATCTAATAAATGAGAAAAAACAAAAGCGCTTTCGTTGCATTTATCAAAACTATTTTAAAATTCAAGATGATAAGCGGTTACAGATATCTCATTGATACGTCGAAAATTAAAAACAAACTATTGATAAGAGTAGTTTTTTTGAATTTGCTTCGTTACCCTCTTCTTTTCTGATGAACTTTCTTAATTGGCATAAAACAATTAATCCAAATGAAGATACTATTCGCATATCATTCATTAGGCTTTTCATGCAATTAAACGCATTTAATGAAAAACATTTGTATTTTAATATATGTGTTAACTGTTTTCTTCATTTCTACACTTCAAAGCCTTGTTTCAATAAAAATTGATATTTCAATGCCAACAAGCAGTAGCACCAGCACCAGCACCAGCACCAGCAGCAGCAGCAGCAGCGATAGGAAAACAACTTATCGTGCAAGTGATTTTGTAAAATATTTAAATTTGACAAATAAGACATGTTTGCTGTTGTTCTTGTTATTGTTGTTTGATACATATAGCAACGAGTATGTGAATTAATATTAAGAAAACTCTTGCTCGCATCTCTCGCTTTACAATCCGTGAGTCCCTTGTAAGCCTCTTAATCATTTCTTAATTTTTATATTTAAAAAAAGATCAAAAAGACATTTCGCGTACAGACATAGAACGAATGCAATAAGAAAAGAAAGAAAATAATGTACTTCTTACTATACATCGTCGTAGTAAACATATATATATATATATATATAAATATATATTTTAATTAATATAAATAAAATGCGTTTTTCAATAAACTTTTTTATTTATTTGTTTATTTATTTACTTTGTTTTTTTTTTTCTTTTGTTGATTTACTTTTTAATTTAATTTAAGATTATACATAATTGGTGTATGACACACAAGATCAATAGGTTTCAAATGTCAATAAATGTGTTTACATTCGAGTAAAGTGTAAATAATGTATGCAAGCAAAGCCATAAAAACGTTAAAAATTTGAAAAGAAAAACTACAAACCATACAATATCGGATTAATAATAAAACAATATTAACGCAAAATAAGACACAATAGCAGCAACAATAACGATAATAATAACAATGAAGAAGCTAATTATTTTCGATTAGGCATAGTCGTAACTACCGCGATCTAAAATTTGAATAAGCAAACTGAATGTGAACGAGTGCGTAACCATGACTTTAAGCATGTTCGATTTATCAAATGTGTGAAACGATTGAGTTCTAGTCCCTCCAAGTCACTATGTTTGCTAAAATAAATATTACGACTATTAAACTTTGCGCAGAATGTTAAGCTTAATCCTATTCTGCTTCTTCTTTTTGAAAAATTTTAAAGTTCGCTATACAGTGGCAGTTTACAGTACACAATTAATCAAAAATTAATCTTCGATTAAAAATCTTCCCTTTAATACTTGCATATTTCAGTTAAGCCGTCAATCGTGGCCGCAGAAATTTTGACTGTCGTATACATGCTGTGCCGCATACTATTCAACATACGAAAAACGAAATGAAGTTACGCTTACACTCTTCCTATTTATTGTTACTCGTTTTATTTTATAATTTTTTTGTTTTTTTTTTCGTCTTTTTTTTTTTAATTTCGTGTAATTTAAAAACAATAAGCGATTTTACATAAGCCAAAGTTTCCAAAGCCTTCAAAAGTTTACTCCTCTGCGATTTTCATGTTTATGAAGGAATTTTGCAATGGCTGCAACAATATATATAAGCGCTTGAATAAATTACAAGCGCGATAACAAACTTATCATACAACCTTTGATTTCATATAACAAACCTTGACATATGGTTTGTAGCTATTTTACATGAAATCTTTAAAAAAGAAAAAAAAAAACAAATACAATTGAAAAGAAAATGGAAATCTTTATATATTTACAAAAATATATAAATAAATCAATATTTGTATATATATATATATATACTTGTATATATATATATATACTTGTATATACATATATGTTTAATTAAACATGACAATTGCTATTTATATATAATATAATATATATATATATATATTTATACATAAATATACGTACATTTATATATACACAGATAACTACGTTACAAAGGAAAAGAGCAATAAATAAAAAATCGCTTGCCTGAGCATAATCTTGTTTACTATTTCTGTCTTCGGGTACAAATATCACAGCAGTCTGTATTTACAGCAGACTTATGGATTACACACGTTATTAAACTTAAAAGCTGTTATCGTAATTATAGCTGACGATTAGCAGTTAAATATTTTTTTGCAATTTGATAAAGTCTTTTTAGTCAGATAACCGGCATAATAATCTCGAAGTCTCTTTTGGAATGCGTGGATGCAAAATCTTCTCTTGTAATTACTTTTAAATATATGATATATATTTTCATTAAACGCCATGCTTCAAATTTTTGTCGCATTATTTGAAGTAAACGGCCGGCCGCTGAGAGTTATCAGTAGCGAAGCCAATAAATCGAAATTGTTTTAACAGTGAAAGTAGTTGAATAATGCTTCTACCCTCTTTCACAATTTATCAAGCATGAACCCAATCATAAATATGTGGAATGAATTAGATCGCCGTGTACAAAGACAGCTAATCCCTTCCTACCAAGCGCTGAAAAACAGACTATAAGGGGAATGGACTACGATCCCTATTTCCTACACAAGAAATATAATACAAAATATGTCAAAACGCTTAAATAACGTTAATAGACAAAAAGGAGACCCCTCCAAATACTAATTTTTAATACCAAACTGGTTTTTCCTTCGTATGCTTCCTTTTATGAAAAAAAAAAAAAACAAAATTATTATTATTACTATTATTATAATTAATTTCGCCAGAGAAATAAATTCTAAGACTAAAGTCTTAAAGCATCTAAGGCTATCGGCTTTATTAAAAACTCTACCGCATTTGAGATTCGAAGCCACGACCATTTAATTGTCAGTCGAGACTCTGCCTGCTCGGACACTCAGGCGGGTATCCAATATTGGTTTTTGAGTTCGTGAAGTT